ATATATATACCTATTCAAATTCGTAAAAATTTACATGCAGGATGTTCAATTTCACAAGAAAAGCCATTTTGTTCCGTTTGTAATGCAAATAATTATATACGAATGAAAATAACGTAAATAACAAAATAGCAACAACAAAAGGGCAACAATTTAAAATTCAGATTTACTCGCTTTAAGATCTGTGGAGATAAGCGATCAATGTTAAGCATCGGAATATACAACAACATTAATTATTACAATAATTGCATTTTACAATTTCATATAATTGGTCAAAAGAACCCGATTATAAATGACTTTAAGTAAACAAAATACTTATAACTACAGTAGATATAGTAATAGCAAAATTAATTTTTATAGCTCACTAAAATTATATCCTATAAAAGTAATGTGGGATAAAGACTTTAATAGTCAAACTGTATCAATCTATTTAAACACCCTTTCTGACACGTTATTATTAGGCTATGCTAATCTATTATAACTTTCTTACTATTAGAGGTACCTCCAAACCATATATCATTTACAAAACCGTTTTACTCAAACATGGCATCATATACAGGGTGGTCAATGAGTTTGCTTCGCCACACCATTCGAGAACACCCTATGCAAGATTCAGTAACGTCATACAATCACTTACCTTAAAAAATTTATTTGTATTCGTTTCTAGAGCCAAAACACAGTACCAGTTATGCAATCTCTATACAAATGTTATAAATGAAAAATAATCCAAACGTGTTTTCCAGGAAACACGGGTTTTCAAAGAGACGACCTTGCCCGTTCGTGAACAAGAGGTCATCGCAGATAAATTGTTATTTATCATTTTATTCAATTGACTGACACTATTGGCGAAACAGAGATTCGATTAATAACAGACTTGTGTAATGTACGACATATAACTTGTTACAGACCCTGAAGAATGGTGACCCTCCCAGTTTTTTTCGTGTTGTCTGTGGCGGTGATATCCAGGGTTCAAGCTGCAGTCACGTGAGTATTTTAAAAATCTTCCTTTATGGTCTACATTCTTAACAGAAACCTAAGAGTGAACATATGGACAGGTTAAGAAAACTTGTATGCAGCCAAAACTAGTCCGTCCAAATTTCATTTTTTTAATACTAATTATTAAATTAAAACAGAGAAGTAATTAAAAAAGTTTGAAGTGACAAAGGAAAGTAATTTAATGGGCGCCAAATCCAAATGCAATTACAATAATCAGAAACAGATGTGGTTGTAAACACTGCATATAAACAGTGCGAACCAATAATTGTACATTTTAAATCCGTTTGGAAAGTCTTGCGCAGTTTTAATGTAAAGTTTTACTTCTAAGTCAACTGTCCCTCTACGTGTCCCAGATGGTATAGGTATCTTTTTTTTTTAATTGCGCACGAGATTTGAGCAAACCTGCTTGTTGGAAAAAGCTTTCTATTGAATGACCGGTAGTTTTCGAGATAATTTAAAATGAACTTTAAAATAATTGTTTACTTATATTTACATACAACAAATATCATTTTCTTATCCGAACATAAAAAGCAGGTACCTAATATAACTTTGGACATTAAGAACCCTTTAATATACTTATACCTATTTTGGCGCCACGGTAAAGAAATATTTAATGGAATATCTACTGTTTACTGACCTCTAATGGCTTTTGTTTACACGGGAACAGTCAACTAAATTTTAAGTCACTTGAACCTATTTGAACAGCGCATATGTGGTAAGTAACAAGTTATGGAGCAAGTAAAAATTTAGTACACTGGAATAGAATTTATTCTATTTTTTCGTGCAAGTTGACGACTTGCACCGAACTTTTCCCTCCTGCTGATCCACTTTCGCTCCCAAAGTCGTTTAGGTCTATTTTTCTCTTCATTTATTTCTTCTAATATAATATTTAGGATAATCCGTAGTATACCATTAAATTCTTCTACAAATTGCCTCACGTTCATCTCGTCAGGTTTGCAAATATATAAACTGCACTAGAACTTACCAACAACTAAACTTAGAACTTACCAGTGCGAACAGCACTTGCATAAAAAATGCAGTAACTTAAAATTTAGTTACCACTTACCTACTGTCCCCGTGTAAACAAGCCTTTAAGGCTTGTTTACATAAATGAAGAAATATATGAAGAGAAAAATAGACCTAAACGACTTTGGGAGCGAAAGTGGATCAGCAGGAGGGAAAAGTTCGGCGCAAGTCGTCAACTTGCACGAAAAAATAGAATAAATTCTATTCCAATGTACTAAATTTTTACTTGCCCCATAACTTGTTACTTACCACATATGCGCTGTTCAAATAGGTTCAAGTGACTTAAAATTTAGTTGACTCTTCCCGTGTAAACAAGCCATTACTCTCAAATGATAATATCCACATTTTGCATTTTTTCCGTCAGTTACTTTCATGGATGTAATATTAGATGCTCTGACATGATATAGTAGCTTTCTGTCTGTATTTTGCGGTTTAGAAAAATAATTCAAGCAATATGAATTTTGAGAGCACCGAAAGCAATTAAATAAAATTATCGTATTACAATGAAGTAAAAGTTATTTTTATAAGACGGTTCTTTGACCGTTTCTTCAACTGCGCCTTTCTCATAGACTAAAAATAAAAATTGCTCACATTATTTATACTCTTATCAATCAATGGCATAATAAATAATTGCCGCAAAAGTTCAGAGTATCGACTAAAGGAAAATCCCTGGTAATTTTTCAATTATTTTTTTTCTATTCAAAAACAAAATCCTTTAAATTAATTAACAAATTAAATTCGAAAATTATCCACAAACAACTACGGTTAATATTTAAAAAAACAAACGTAATCGAAACGCCTTAAAAAAAAACTGAAACTACAAAGTAAAATTATCAGTTAAACCAAGTCTTATCATCAGTACATGCATTTCAAGTAATATACAAAAGTCCATGATCTTGCAATTGTTGTACACCTTTTTTTGTAAACGACCCTGGTGCTGACCAGGGTCGTACCCTGAAAAAGGAAGGGAGGCTTTTGATGAAAAAAATCATTAATATATTATATACAGGGTGTTTCTAAAATAGGGTTCCAAACTTCTGCTGCGTTTATAACTCAAGAAAATAAGCCAAAAAGTTCCTATTAACATGTGCCCTAAAACGCACCCTTAGGAAGTTATATGCCCTTAAAAGGGCTCAAACAAAACTTTTTTTTTTTTCAAATAAATTGCAGTTATGAAGGATCCGATCATTTAATAAATAATTTAGGACATAAACTAAGACTATTTAAATTTAGAGTTACACTTACTAATTAAAGAACTAATTACTACTGCAGACAATAGCTAAATGTGAAATAGAAAATAATGGTATTAAAATTTTCAAACTTATTTTCTTCGAAAACCATTGGAAATATCGATTTGGACAAAGATCATATTTTTTACATAAAATTGTTAAGATTCTATAAATCTGTAGAGAAAATTGTAAAAAAAATTGAAATAAAAAAAATTACGGGCCGAAAACCCCCTTCACCAACCTAAATGAGTTATAAACGCATCAGAAGTTTGGAACCCTATTTTAGAAACACCCTGTATATATAAGAGAAAAATTTAACGAAGCTAAGTATGCACTAATTTTTTTTTTCTTTAATTTAGTGATTTCCATTATTCAATTCTTTTCTCTAATACTGTATTGTAAAAATTCATAAAAAAGCTCTAAAATTTTTGTTTTAAAAACTTTTTTGTAATTTCAATAATAAACTCACAATAAGTTGTCAGATTAAGTGACTAACCCTGTACAGGGGGCGATTCAACAGCAAGTGTAAAAAAAATCAGAAGATAAAGAACATGCAAGTTTGCCTTATAAAACCCGTGTCCAATTATTAAATTATTATTAAATTGAAACAAATAATTCAGAAAACATTTTTGTTTATTGTATTTTATTTATGTGATTGCCTTTAAAGCTCCTTAACTCAAAAATGGTGCTGTGGTGAACAAAATGGTCATTTACAATTTTGAAGAATTCAGAATCCTAAATAAAAATCAAACTAGTCTACTAGTACTCACGGGGGAAAAATATAGAACGGTATTTCGTTTTTGATAAAATTGTACGTTTAAAACCTATGTTACATGACCATATAATAAAAAAAGCATGATTGTCCTATCCTCAAAATAATTAATTTATTTTTACTATACAGGGTGTTTTTGAATGGAGTAGCATAAATGATACCAGTGAATCTACATTTCAAAAGAACACGATCTGCAAAAAATCGCCTTAGTAAAATGTTCACCCCTGAAGAGATATGGTCCATCAAAGTTTCCAAAAAAAATTATGAAAATTGGCTGTAATTTGAAAACCGAACGAGGTACAAATAACAAATTTTTTACAGGTTGTTTACTAATACAGATGCGAGTTTTCAACTATTTTTCGAAAATTTTAACCCCTCGAAAGGGGTTGAAATAACCACCCCTCAAGCCATTTTTTGCCATAACTTTTATATTTCGTAAAAACTCGATATCCAAAAATACGCATTAGATAAACTGGTTCTTTTAGAAACTTTTACCTCTCTAGCAATTTTCCTTTAAAACTTTTCGTTTATTAATAAAAAAATAAAATGTATTACCATTCACCTCACACCGTATATGATTGCAATCAATCAAAGAAAAACTAAGTGTGCTGCTGTCATGCCAGTTGTCACAATTAACTCTTCTGTAAGTTGTCACTGTTATCAGCTAAATACTTTTTGGGTGTAAATTAACAAGAATTATGCCAAATTTTACTAATGATGAATATGTGGACATGCTACAAGTGTTTTTTTCTACGATCGTGCAAAATTTACTACTTATTGCACTACCTACTGTGCCAAAAGTTTAACTTTTTTTACAGTAGTACAAAAAAAATATTGATTACAAGTTTAATCTAAGCATATCCATAAGTACCTAACGTCTGACATTGACAATTTGCGCAATTAATTTCCAGTTGTCAGTTAAAATTTTAATATTATGTAAAATACTGTTAAATAAAATTTGAAATAAAAACAATCGTAGAAAAAATGTTGCGTGCAACATGTGCAAAAAGCATATTTGTTGCACTTAACATGATTGCAGCTCTCAACTTCGTCTCGAGCTGCAAACTTCATGCATCGTACAACAAATACACACTCTTTACAGTAGTTGCACAAATAACTGTTTGAATGTCGCAGAAACTTTTATTAAATAGAAGTACAATGAAAACGAAACTAAGAAATAATTTATTATCAAAAAGAGAAAAAACAAAAAACTTAGTTAAAGGACATTTTCAAAATAATTGCCATTTCTTTCTAAACACAACCTAACACGTTTATCAAAGTTGTTACGGACTCGAGCAAAAATTATGGGATTGTTGCGAATCTCATCAGCCGCCGCGAATATTCTTTCCTGTAGCTCTTCAACACTGTCAACTGGGGTCGCATAAACAATACTTTTTATATGTCCCCAAAAGAAAAAATCCATGGGCGTTAGATCGGGAGAACGTGCAGGCCAAGAGATAGGTGCCTCATTGCCGCGACCTATCCAACGATTCGGGTAATTTAAATTAAGCCACCGCCTAACTACTACAGTGCTGTGAGCAGGAGCCCCGTCATGCATGTACCACATGGCCTGACGTACATTTAATGGTACTTCCTCCAGAAGTGGTGGTAGATGCTCATTTAAGAACTGCAAATATTCAACAGCACCAAGTCGATGAGGTAAAACAAAAGGGCCGACAAGCACATTTTCTACAATTCCTGCCCAAATGTTTAAACTAAAATTATGTTGAAATGTTGTCATAGATACTTCGTGAGGATTTTCATGAGCCCAGGAATGAAGATTGTGCATATTGGTTAAACCATGTCTTTGAAAAGTTGCTTCATCTGTGAAAAGTATCTTTGAGGCAAAATTCAAATTATTTCTTAGAATATTAAGATACGATTCGCAAAAAACAACTCGCTTATGCATGTCTGGTTCAAGTAGAGCTTGAACTGGCCGGTGGTGAAAAGGATATAATAAA